TACGCCACCACATCTAGCTTGGAATACAAATGTAAGCAGGCAGCCAGAGAAGACATCTCTGAGTAAAAAGGAAGATTTGAGAGGCTGGGAAGATGGCTCAGGCAGTAAAGTACTTGCCTGCAGGGGGAAGATGCAAGTTGGGTCTCCAGGACCCACAGGAAAAAGAGAAGCATGGTGGCATGGGTGTATTCCGTGCAGCGACTGTAGAATGGTGGATCTCTAGGTCTTGTTGCCCAGTCAGCCAGCCTACATAGTGAACTTTGGGACAACTGGGAGATTCTGTCTCAAAAAGTAAAAAAAAAAAAAAGGTGAAGGGCTCTTGCTCTTGAGCAACAACGGTTGCAACTGACATCTGGTCTCCACAGGTTTGATGGCACAGGTACATACATATGCACGCCACCCCCCCCCAACACACAAATACATGTTAAAAAAAAAAAAAGAGTCTGGCATTGCTGGTACATGTTAATCCCAGCACTCAGAAGGCAGAGGCAGGCAGATCTCTGTGAGTTCAAGGCCAGCCTGGTCTCCAGAGCAAGTGCCAGGACAGGCCCCAAAGCTACAGAGAAACCCTGTCTCGAAAAAACAAAAAAAAAAAAAAAAAAAAAAAGATTTGCAGGGAGATAGAAATTCAGAGAATGAACCCGCAGCTCAGTGGCAGGATAAAGGTTTCAGACAGACTGTACAACTGCAGAAGACTGAAGACAGGAGCATCTCTGACATGCAGGGTTAGATCTATAAGATCTAACCCTGGAATGAGTGGCACAGACAGGGATGATGTTTGGCAGTACTTGGTCAGAGAAGTAAAGGGGATGGGTACAGATCATATCAGCATTTAATGACCATGCTTTTACTCTCACAGAGATAGGAACAGACTTGGTGTCACAGAGAACTGAATTTAAATATGAGCTTAGATATTAACTAGCAGTGTGGCCCCTGGACAAGTCTCTCTCTCTCTTTCTCTCTCTCTCTCTTTCCAAGTGCTAGGATTACAAGTGCATGCCACTATGTCCAGCTCCTTTCAATAACCCTGATTTTAATCTTTTTTTTTCTTTTTCTTTTTTTTTTTTTTTTTTTTTTTTTTTTTTGAGACAGGGTTTCTCTGTGGAGGCTTGGCTGCCCTGGCACTCACTCTGTAGACCAGGTTGGCCTTGAACTGGCAGAGATCCATCTGCCTTTTCCTCCTGAGTGCTGGAATTAAAGGGGTGTGCCACCATTGCCTGGCTTTAAATTTTAATCTTATTTAAGGTTGAATTTGAATAAATACCTTGTTGCTTCAAACGATCTACATAAATCACTGGACGTTCTATTTTGAAGTTAGCATCTCCGTAGGAGAAGCAGCCTCCTCTGATCATGACAACACAGGGCCCTTATCATTAAAGTACCACCATGCCCTCAGCTACACAAAGAAAAAAATGTGGACAATTCTGATTTGGTGTTGTCTCCCCTCCCGGCACTGGCTAGTCATTAAGCCATTCTATCTCCTCCCCCTTTTCTTATTCTTTTAGACAGTCTTAGGGCAGGATCTACAGTTTTGTGCTAAAGTACTCATCTCAAATACATGATGCCCTAGGTAAAATCTCTAGTATGCCAAAAATATCCCCAAATAGGGAGAGTCTTATGTATGCCATGCTGGCCTCAAAACTCATTTGAACTCTTAGTCTTTTTGTGTCCACCTCCTAGGTTCTGGAATTGCAGGTGTGCACCATCATCCTAGATTCAACCCAGGACTTCATATATGCAAGGCAAGCATTGTACCCATTCAGTCACCGCGCCATTTATTACGGCTTTGGGGGGCAGAATCTTACCATGTAGTCCATGATAAGTCACAGAGATCTGTGCCTTTGCCTCCTGAGTGCTGGAATTAAAGGCATGTGACACGATGACCTGCCTATTAAGCATTTTATTTTTTATTTATTTATTTATTTTTGGTTTTTCGAGACAGGGTTTCTCTGTGTAGCTTTGGAGCCTATCCTGGAACTCACTCCATAGACCAGGCTGGCCTCGAACTCACAGAGATCTGCCTGCCTCTGCCTCCCGAGTGTCAGGATTAAAGGCGTGCGCCACCAACACCCGGCTTTAAATTACATTTTTAAATTCTTGTGTGGGGCCCATGTATGTCGTGGCATATATGTGGAGACCAGAAGACAATTTTGGGGAGTTTCTCATTCACCATTTAGGTTCCTGATAGCCATCTCAAGTTAGGCTCGGTGGCAGACATTTTTGCCCACTATGACATCTTGCCAGCCTTTTATTGTTTTGTTTTTTAATTAGCACATATTAATTACATATAATAATGGGTTACATATGACATTTTCATATGTGTATATAATGTATTTGGGTCCTGGTCATGCATACCCCACTAATCTCTTTGGCCCCCCTCCCAACCCCACCGACCCCCCCCCATCCATTCCCAACAGTCTGCCATTTCTACTTTCCTATTGGCTTTCCAAATACGAAGCAGGCTTCACTAGGCTTTTGAACAGGAGCATGAGCCCTTTATGGTTAGCTTGTGGCACCAAAGAAAATGCCTCTCCTTGCTCTATTAAACACTAATTGCCTGCCCCTCAGGGAGGGGCGGGGCCTCCTGAACCTGCCCTCTCAGACAGGATGGGCACAATCTGAAGCAGATCTAGTATAGGTAGGCACAAAGGAGCCATGGCCACATCACACCCGGAAGTCAGCGTTTGACATCAGTACCACCATCCCTTCCTCAGCCTCTTACGTCCCTTCTCCCCTCTTCTGTGGTTCTCTCTGCGCCCTGGAGGGCTGTGGATATCTCATTCATGGCTGGGCATACACAGTCACTTATGGCCATTAGAGGTCTCCCCAGGAGCCACGGCCTACTGCAAAATGGAGCCTCTCTGAAGCAAGCTGAGAGCAGTACTGACCTGCGTCTGCAAACGGAACCACTGAGAAGGCAGTTTGACTGCCACATCGTGTCCCTTCTGTGAAGCAACAGCACTGCGTCTTCTACTAGGGCCTACAGCGTCACAAGTCACAGGCTTTGGACTGGGTTTACACTACCAGATGTGAATTACCTCCTGTGGCACAGGCCTCAAGTCCAACCAAAAGGGATTAGCAGGGAGCTACTCCCGATTAGACTGGGCAGTATGCATCAGCAATGGGCCGATCTTGCTTGTCTAGTCTGCACTGTTACAAGTAGGTTCATAGCTCTCTCTAGCTCTTGCTCCCCCCTCCACCCAGTGTGTGTGTGTGTGTGTGCTCAGGGAATGGTGGCATTTTGAGACAGGGTCTCTCTATGTAGCCCTGGCTGGCCTGGAACTTACTAGGAGTACCATGAATCACCACACCTGTCCCTCCCATGTTATTTAACATCTGTTGCCTGAGTTTTCCCACTGGTAAAATTATAGAGTCAGCAGTTAAATGAATAATGAATAGGGGAGAGGTTCACAGCTCTCATCCTAGCCCTGAGTTCCAGGAAAGCATGGGTTACAGTGTGAGCCACTGTCTCACAATCTTTTTTTTTTTTTTCATTAATCTTTAAAAATGTTGCATTACGCTGGGCGTTGGTGGCACACGCCTTTAGTCCCAGCACTCGGGAGGCAGAGGCAGGTGGATCTCTGTGAGTTCGAGGCCAGCCTGGTCTCCAGAGCGAGTGCCAGGATAGGCTCCAAAGCTACACAGAGAAACCCTGTCTTGAAAAACCAAAAAAATAAAAAAATAAATAAAAATGTTGCATTACAAGTGTTATTAGAGGGCTGGAGAGATGGCTCAGAGGTTAAGAGCACTGCCTGCTCTTCCAGAGGTCCTGAGTTCAATTCCCAGCAACTACATGGTGGCTCACAACCATCTGTAATGAGATCTGGTGCCCTCTTCTGGTGTGCAGATATACATGGAAGCAGAATATTCTATACATAATTAATAAATAAAATCTTTAAAAATGATTAAAAAAAAAAAAAGCCGGGCAGTGGTGGCACACGGATTTAATCCCAGCACTCGGGAGGCAGAGGCAGAGGCAGGTGGATCTCTGTGAGTTCGAGACCAGCCTGGTCTACAAGAGCTAGTTCCAGGACAGCCTCCAAAGCCACAGAGAAACCCTGTCTCGAAACCTTTCCCCCAACCCCGCAAAAAAAAAAAAAAAAAAAAAAAAAAAAAAAAGCAGCAAGTGCTCTTAACTGCTGAGCCTATCCCCTATTTATTTATTTTTGAAAAGTCTCACAATGTTGTTTAAGTCTTGAACAGTTCTGCTGGAGAGATTCTTACCACAGCCTTCCGAGTTCTGATTCAGACTGTGCCTGGTCCCCTGCATTCATTCATTCATTCATTCATTCATTCATTCATTCATTCATTCATTCCTTTATTTGGTTTTTCAAGACAGGTTTTCTCTGTGTAGCTTTGGAGGCTGTCCCGGAACTCACTCTGTAGACAAGGCTGGCCTCGAACTCACAGAGATCCGCCTGCTTCTGCCTCGGGAGCGCTGGGATTAAAGGCGTGCGTCACCAACGCCCCGCATGGTTCCCTGTACGTAAAGTTGAGGTTTGTACAGGAAATTATACAAGTTTGCTGTTGTATTAAGTTTGCACAGGCCAGGGAAAGGGTCTAGCACTGAGCTATTTCTCCAGACCTTTGAAAACACACAAAACATTCAGTGTTAGCACTGAGGCCCATACAGGCACAACGCTGTGCTTAGCTGGGGAGCGCATCAGACCTCTGTCACCTTGAGCTATCTGATGCTATCAATGCGGCTCTTTCCCCAGTGGCTCAGTTCACAATTTAAACATAGTATCCAATCAGTTTGGAGAGATCTGATCAAGACACCCAGGTCGTCGGAGCTGTGGGGGAGAGCGCCACTTATCCTAGAGCTGCCCTATGACGTAAGGCCCTGCAGTTATCCCCAGCGCACCGCTCCAGACCAGGACCCCCTCGCAAGGCAGCGCCGCACTTCGCACATGCGCTCTTGCCCCCGGTGCCAGGAGGCAGGCTCATTCCTGGCCCTCTCGGCACCCTTACTTCTCGGCGCTTCAGGGCCTAGGTTTCCTGTCCGTCAGCTTCCTGCCGGAAGTGCGGAAGGCGGATGCCTGCATCTTCTCTGGCGGGATTTTGGTATCTGTGGGTGCGAGTGTGCAAGCGTGGACTTAATTCCAGCTTCGCGGGGAGCTGCGGCGTGCACGGAGGCGTGTTGCTAGTGTAAGTGCACACGTGCCCGGGATCCCGGCGTGGGAGGACCGGTGCCGTCACTTTAGTCACGCTTCCCGCCTGGCTCGTTTGAAAAGGGGAAAAAGGCCGAGCCCTGTTCCAGGCGGACCCCCGTGTACCCTGGCGCCTCTCCCTGAGTCTCCTTGGCGTCCGCCTAGGGTGAAGGTCCTTAGGTCGCCTTCGGATCTTCTGTTTTGGGTTTTTAGAGGTCTCACTGCGATTCCCCGGTTGGCCGGAACTTGCTAGGTAGACCAGTCTGGCCTCGAACCTGCAGCCGTCTTCCTAACTCTGTTGTCGAGCGTTAGGATTACAGATGTGCCCCAACACGGCCAGCTTTTATTTATGTTTGCAAACGGGGCCTCTGTGTAGCCTAAAGGTGACTCTACCTTTTCTGAATTTAGTTGTATGTCGGTTGTTTCGTTTGAGCCACGTAGCTGGGGGAGGGAGGCTGGGCGGTTAAATGCCCCTAGTCTTATTTAAAAGAGTAAGTTCCAGAAAAAGAGGTTGCACAGCTGCCTCAAGATTACCTAGGAAACTTAGAGGGTTCAGAATTTGAGATTAGAAGGTTACGCCGTATCTCCGTGGCCAGAACCCTTGTTTCTGTGTCGCCCGTTCATGGAGCGGGCTGTATAAATAAATGCGAAGTTCTGAATGCCTGAGTCTTGATTTCAGTGCCGGAGCCACGCTACTAACCGCTCCAGTGTACAAACAAGTGTGACTCTTCCAGGTGTATCCCGTGCTTACCTGACCGTCACCATGGAGGCCCCTCCAGTCACCATGATGCCAGTCACTGGGGGCACCATTAACATGATGGAGTACCTCCTGCAGGGTAAGTGAGCCAGGGAGCTTGCATTAATTGCCAAGTTTTTCCTTCCTTCCTTCCTTCCTTCCTTCCTTCCTTCCTTCCTTCCTTCCTTCCTTCCTTCCTTCCTTTTCTTTTTTTGGTCAGAGTAAGTAGAGATAAAGCTAACAAAGTCAACCACACAGTTTCTGTCTCCCTGTAAGTATGTTTAAAGGAGGTAGAGTGGGAAGGTTGACTCAGTGGCCAGAAATTCACCACACAGACCAGTCTGGCCTCAGGTACCTGGGTTTAACGAGATGCACCATAAACAATTGCCTTTTCTTTTTTCTTTTTCTTTTTGGCTTTTCAAGACAGGGTTTCTCTGTAGCCCTGGCTGTCTTGGAACTCACTCTGTAGACCACGATGGCCTCAAACTCCCAAGTGCTGGGATTAAAGGTGTGCACCATCACCCCCTGCTTCATTTTCTTTCATCTTTACTTTTTCTGCCTCTCGACTGACACTGATCACCTCCACACCTTGTTTTCTTCATCCACTGCTTAGATGCCCCATAGAAGTGAAATGACTGGTTTGTGACAGGTTTCTTTTACTTGGCATTATATCCTTGACAGAATTATGTCTTATGACAACATTTACATGGTTTTTGTATTTTTGGAAACAGGGTCTTAGATAGCCCTGGACTCCTTATTAGCTAGAATTGCAGACCTAGGCTACCAGGCCGTGCTAAGTTCCTGTTTCCGAATCTCTATTCTGCACTGAGTATCTCAAGCATTGTATCTACTTACTTGACTCTTAGGGGGTAGTTTGTTTGCTTGTTCGTTTGGTTTTGGTTTTGAAGACAGGGTCTCACTTTATATATATCCCTGGTTGGCCTGCAATGTAAACCAGGCTGGCCTTGAACTCATAGACATCTACCTGCCTCTGCCTCCCAAGTGCTGGGATTAAAGGCGTGTGCCACCACCACCCGGCTTTTGCTTGAGTCTTGTAATGACCCCTAAATTTTATTTTATTTTTTTTAGCTCTGTCCTAAAGCCCAGAAGACAGAGATAAAGGCTCAATGATAAAACAAGACCCAAAGAGAATGCTGACTTTTTTAGGAGATCATACAATATATTTAGTAGGCAGAGTTAAGCTTTATTTATTTTTGAAATGTGTGTGTATGTGTATATACGCACGTGTATACAGGCGCTCTTGCATATTTTGTGGGAGTCATTTCTCTGCCACTGTGTGGGTGGGGGATTGAAGTCCTCAGGCTTGATATTTGTACTGGATTTAATTAGATTTTTCTATTACATTTTATTTGTTTGGGAGCGGCCTTGTGCTTGCCACAACACACCTGTAGAGGTCAGGGGACATGTGGGAGTTAGTTCTTTCCCTTCATTAGGTGGGTATCAAGGATTGAACTCAGGTCATCAGGCTTGGCAGCAAGCACCTCTACCCACTGAGCCGTCACATTGGTCCCTCTAAAATGTTACCGAGTAAACATTTAATTTTTGTCCTTGGGCAGTTGTCCTTTATCTTTGTATTTATTTGTTTGTTTGTTTTTATTTGTTTACTTATTTTTGGTTTTTCAAGACAGAGTTTCTTTGGGTAGTCCTGGCTGTCCTAGAACTCACTATGTAGACCAGGCTGGCCTCCAACTCACAGAGCTCCATTTGCCTCTGCCTCCGAAGTGGCAAATATCTTTCATTTATTTGTGTGATTGCCTGTTTGGGTTTATGTGTATCATGTCCATGCTGAGTCCAGAAGAGGGCGTTGGATCCCCTGGACCTGGAGTTACAGACAGTTGTGAGCTGCCTGATGTGGGTGCTGGGAACTGAACTCTGGTCCTCTGCAGGAGCAGTAGAGGTTCTGAACCACTAAGCCATTTTTCTAGCCCTTGAGTCTTTAACAATTCTACTGCCTCAGTTTTCTGTGTGTCATCATGTATGGCTAATAAAAATAATACTGTTTTGTTGTTATTTGCCACTAAGCCAGGACCCGAGCCTCACAGCCTCCCCTCTTGGCTTTTGGTTCTGGTGATCAAGCCCAAGGCCTTGCATTCCAAGCACATGCTCTACCATTGATTGACAGCCAGCTGCAATTATTTATTTCCAGCTAATGAAATTCTACTTATGGAACAAATTCAAATTTTCCTTTTCATATAATTGTACTTAAGAAGACAGGCATGGTTTTGTATGCCTTTAATCCCATCACTCCAGAGGCAGACACAGGTGGATCCCCAAATTCAAGGCTAGCCTGGTCTACAGAGCAAGTTCCAGGATAGCCTGGACTATACAGAGAAATCTTGTCTCAAAAAATAAAGAAAACTGGCTATGGGCTCACAAGACAGCTTAATTTGTAAGGTTATGTCTTAGTTTCTCTTCTGTTTCTTGGCACCATGACAAGGCAACATTTACAAAAGAAAGCATTTATTATTGCAGGCTTGCTTACAGTTTCAGAGGTTTAGGATCATTATGGTGAGGAGCATGGAAGCTAGCAGGCAGGTAGGTGCTGGAGCAATAGCCCTGAGCTACAGCCTGATCCACTGGCAGAGAGAAAGACACTGGGGCTGGCGTGGGCTTTTGAAAACTCAACCCACTCCTGGTGTTGTAACTCCTTCCAATAAGCACATGCCTTCTAATTTTTCCGTAAACATTCTGTTGCCTGGGGACTAGACCTTCAAATGTAAGAGCCTATGGGAGCATTCTTACTCCAACCACCACGGGGTACTTGCTTTGAAGCCTGACAGCCTGAGATCAATCTATGAGAACCACATAGCAGAGGTAGAGAACCAGTAGAATCCCATGGATGGTTCACATGAAACAATGCATAGAATTATTATTTATTGGTGTGTGTTTATCTTCTGCTAGTTTCATGACTTTTCATGAAATCCAGGACTCATTGTCTTTTTACCTCTTCAGGGAGTGTTTTAGACCACAGTTTGGAAAGTCTCATCCATCGCCTTCGTGGTTTGTGTGACAACATGGAGCCTGAGACTTTCCTTGATCACGAGATGGTATTCCTTCTTAAGGGCCAGCAGGCCAGTCCATTTGTTCTAAGGGCCCGACGCTCCATGGACAGGGCAGGGGCACCCTGGCACCTGCGCTACCTGGGACAGCCAGAAATGGGAGACAAGAACCGTCACGCCTTGGTTCGCAACTGTGTGGACATTGCCACATCTGAGAACCTCACAGACTTCTTGATGGAAATGGGCTTCCGCATGGACCATGAGTTTGTAGCCAAAGGACACTTGTTCCGGAAGGGCATCATGAAGATTGTGGTGTACAAGATTTTCCGAATCCTGGTCCCAGGGAACACAGACAGCACAGAGGCCCTGTCTCTCTCCTATCTTGTGGAATTGAGTGTTGTTGCACCAGCTGGGCAGGACATGGTCTCTGATGACATGAGGAATTTTGCGGAGCAGCTCAAACCTCTGGTTCACCTGGAAAAAATAGACCCCAAAAGGCTTATGTGATTAAGAAGGTCTGTCCATCTTTGAGGTCTGTCCTCACCTGATAGGCAGAAAGATCTCCCAAGTGCCCTGGTTCACTGCTGCCAGTCAGGCCGACTCCCTTCCGGAAAACTTGAGTGGTGAGAATATGTTTCCTTTGGACCATTTCCTTTATATAGTAATTTCATCTTTTGTGTTTGTTTGTTTCTTGGTGGCAGGGTCTTACCCTGGCTCACCTGGAACTCACTCCGTAACTAGCCAGTAACGCAGAGCCCGTCTGCCTAATTACCCACATTAAGGCTCTCCTTACGAAGCCGGCTGTTTGATCTCCTTGACAGTCTTCTCCCATTAAAAGCCCAGGATAACATGGAGATTTGACCAAGTCCTCCCTCTGCTCAAAGAGAGGGAACTGGAATAAATTAGCTTTTCAGAGGAAAATGTCAAAAAACAACTCTGATGATTGTTTTGCCTTTTCATTGTTTTTATATATATATTATTTATTTATTTTTTGTTTTCATGTTTTTATTTATCTTACTTTGTCATTTGTATATAAGATGTGTAGCAGTGTTGTGAGCTGGCATTGTATGGTAATAAAGACGGGAAAGAAATTTCGATTCTGATCCTTATTCTTACTATTATTATTACTTCTTAACTATTTACTATTGTTATATTACCCTTTTACTATTATTGTTGTTGTGTATGTGTGTGGGCACACCTGTGGAGGGCCAGAGTCCTCTCCAGGACCACATATAGAAGGAGAGAACCGACTGCTGCAAGTTGTCACCCTCTATCTCCATGTGAAGTCATATAGTTTTTGTTCTTTTAATTTTTTGTTTTTCTTCTGAGGGAAACTTTCAGTCCTTTTTCTTTTCTTTATTTTTTTATTTTATTTTATTTTTTGGTTTTTGGAGACAGAGTTTCTCTGTGTAGCATTGGCTGTCTGGAACTCGCTCTATAGACCAGGCTGGCCTCGAGCTCACAAAGATGCCCTGCCTCTGCCTCCTGGGTGCTGGGACCAAAGGCGGGCGCCACCACTTCCAGGCTTTTCTACTTTTTTAGAAGTCTTACTCGGGATCCTACAAACAACCCTAGTGAGGCTTGGCTCATCTACTTTATATTGTAACTTTATATTACATTTATTTATTTAGGACTTAACGTGTGCACACGTGGAGTCAGAGGACAGCTGCCAGCAGCTGGTCTGCACTTTGATCATGTGGGGCCTGAGTGTGGAACTCAGGGTGTCAGACTTGGCGCCGGCAGCACCTTTATCCACTTCTCCTTTCTGGACAAGTTCTCTCGCTGAGCCTGGAGCTCAGGCTCATCTAGACTGACCAGCCACCCACCAGCACTGGCATTACAGAAGCCAGACACCTCCCCTTGGTGCCTGGATCTGAACTCGGGTTTCTGTGCTAAGATGGCCATGCTTTACTCACTGAGCATTCTCCTTATTTTCTTTCCCTGCAAATGCTGGCGCACTCAATACCGAGTTGGGAAAAAAAACACAAGCCAAGTCAAAGGCTTGAGCATGCTGAGAAAGCACTGTGCCACTGAGCTTCGGCCTTGCCATTATCCTTTGTAGAGATGTTTTAACCTTTCATGAAAGCAGCTGAGGCAGGAAGATTACAATTTCAGGGTTAATGTGGACTAAAGCAAGATCCTGTCTCAAAACACACACACACACACACACACACACACACACACACACACACACACGGTACAATTTTGTTGATGGAACATTTTAAAACTAATTTGTAGCCAGGCGGAGGTGGCACGCCTTTAATCCCAGTACTCGGGAGGCAGAGGCAGGTGGATCTCTGTGAGTTCGAGACCAGCCTGGTCTACAAGAGCTAGTTCCAGGACAGCCTCCAAAGCCACAGAGAAACCCTGTCTCAAAAAAACAAAACAAAACAAAAAAACCAAAAAAACAAAAACCAATTTGTTTTTTGTTTTTCTTTTTTTTTTTTTTTTTGGTTTGGTTTTGGTTTTTTGAGACAGGGTTTCTCTGTATTGCTTTGGAGGTTGTTCTAGAACTTGCTCTGTAGACCAGGCTGGCCTGGAACTCATAGAGATGCTTGCCTCTGCCTCCCGAGTGCTGGGATTAAAGGCATGAACCACCAAGCCCGGCTGTATCTTTCATTTTATTTTAAAGTATATATTTTACAAGATTTATTTATAGGTCAGGTGGTAGTGTTGCACACCTTTAATTCCAGTGGTTGGGAGGCAGAAACGGCAGATTTCTGTGAGTTCAGGGCCAGCTTGATCTACAGAGTGAGTTCCAGGACAGACTCCAAAACTACAGAGAAAACCCTGTCTCAAAAAAATTTTTTTTAATTTTATTTAATTTATGGGTATTTTGCCAACAAGTATATCTGGGCACCACATGTGATGCCTGTGGAGGCCAGAAGAGTATGTTAGAGTTTCATATGGTTGTTAGCTGCCATGCAGGTTCTGAGAATCAAACTTTAGGGTTTTGGCTTGTACTCAAGAATTAGAAGGGAGCCGGTGGTTGGTGGCATACACCTTTAATCCCAGCACTCGGGAGGCAGAGGCAGGCAGGTTTTTGCAACCTCAAAAAATAGTGGCACATGCCTTTAATCCCCACACTCAAGGGGCAGAGGCCGGAGAATCTCTTAAGTTCATATATAGCATCCACATATATTCATATATAGTATATCATATATATGTATGTATACTGCAAGACCCTGACCAAAGGAAACAAAGGAAGGAAGAAAGGCAGGAAAGGGATGAGAAAGAGAGGGAGTGAGGGGTGGTAAGAAGGGAAGATGATTCAGTTGGTAACTAGCAACCTGCTGCCAAGCCTGAGGACCTGAGTTTGATAACTGGGACTCACATGGGTAGAGAGAGAACTGATTCCTGTAAATTGTCCTCTGACCTCCACACATATGCCCTAGCACACAGACATGCATGCCATACAAATGAAACATAAAAGAGAGAATCCTGGGCTGGAGAGAAGGCTCAGAGGTTAAGAGCACTGACTGCTCTTCCAAAGGTCCTGAGTTCAATTCCCAGCAACCACATGGTGGCTCACAGCCATCCGTTATGAGATCTGGTGCCCTCTGTTGGCCTGCAGGGACACATGCCGACAGAACACTGTATGCATAATAATTAAATAAATAAATCTTAGAGAGGGAGGGAGGGAGAGAGAGAATCCTAACCAGATTGGTGGTACACATCGCTAATTCCATCTCTATGGAGGCTGAAGCGGGAGGGTTGCAAACTTGAGGCCAGTCTGGAACACATAGGAAGCAGTCCTCAGCCAGGCGGTGGGGGCGCACGCCTTTAGTCCCAGCACTCGGGAGGCAGAGGCAGGCCGATCTCTGTGAGTTTGAAGCCAGCCTGTTCTATGGAGCGAGTTCCAGCACAGCCAGGGCTATGCAGAGAAGCCCTGTCTCAGAGAGAGAGACAGAGAGAGAGAAGGAGGGAGGGAGGAGGAGGGGCAGGAAGAAGAAGAAGAAGCATAGAAGCATCTCTCCATGGTCTTTGCTTTCATTTCTCCCTCCCAGTTCCTGCCCTGACTTCCTCAGTGAAGGACTGTAACCCGGGGGTTCTAAGATGAAATAAACCTTTCACTCCCCAAATTGTTTTTGGTTGTGGAATTTACCACAGCTACAAAAAGCAAACTAGAACCCGCTGTCACGATGTGTTAGGCTGATGATCCAGACACTGCTCCTTATTGGGCAGCCTCCTTTCTATTTCAAGACTTTGCTGTTTGTTCTGTTCTAGACAAGGTCTTCCTTCTCAGTCCAGGTCAGCCTTGAACTGGAGGCAGTCTTTCCTCTTTAGCTTCTAGAGTGCCGTGATTACAGGCAAGAACTACTACATCAGCCCTAAATTATACTTTTATTCTCTCCCACTTATGACCACAAAATTGGATTTTGTTTGTTTCTGTTTTTATTCTGAAGTAGGGTCTCATGAAACCCAGTGTTGCCTCATGCTTCCAAGGTGGTAAGACTGACCCTGCACCCTTTGAACTCACAGAAATCCACTTGCTTCTGCCTGTGGAGTGCTGGGATTAAAGGCGTGCTCCACCATGCCCAGCCTCATTTTCTTAAATTACATTTGTGTGTGTGTGTGTGTGTGTGTGTGTGTGTGTGTGTGTGTGTGTTTTTGCATGCCAGTGCATGCAAGTACACTCTCATATGTATGTCGTGGTTTGAGTGTGAAGGTTCAAGGACAACCTTAGGGAGTCTTTTATTTCCTTCCTTTGTGTGGAGCCAGATTGGTGGTTCCTTTACCCACTGAGCCATCTTGGTGTCCATCCTATATTTTCTTATACTAACTTTATGGTTTTAATTTTCACATTTGAGCCTTTAAACCTTTTGAAGTTTCAAGTAGAGAGACCCGCCTTTCTTCTTCCTATGGTGAATTATTTCTGTCACAACCTGAGACACGTCTCTCCAGGGCTTGATGTCTCTGTCACCTTTATCACATATTAACTTCCCGCACACAGGCTTTCTCAAGCTCCCGGTTCTATTCCATTGGTCTTTTCTTTGTTATTTGCCAGCAGCTGGCAGAGCCGTGTTTTTATTGGCTTTGGGGTAGATCCAGTTCTACCAGTAGGGCAGGCACCCCCACTTTGCTTTCTCCTTCAAAATAGACTTAGCTTTCAAAGGCCGCACACCTGTAACCCCAGCCCGTGGGAGGTTCAAGCTTCATACAATCGAATATTCAAGGCAAGGAGGTTTATGGCAAAATCCTTTTTTTTTCTCCATGAATAATAACTGTTCATGCTAGTGGGTACTCACTTACGGAATCCCCATCTTCCTCTAACAAAATGTGAGGTTCACGAGGGCAGAATTTTTGTTTCATTCTCTGCTGTATTCCAAGCATGTGTAAGAGTGGCCCAAGGTAGCTTCCTGGACAGTTATTAAGCAAATGAATAAAGTATTTTTTTTTTGTATGTGTATGGGTTTTCAAGACAGGTTTTCTCTTTGTATCCCTGGCTGTCCTGGTGGTGTACATCTTCACTCGGAAGGCAGACAGGTTGATATCTATGAACTGAAGGCCATATATACTGTCTGGCTCTTTCTATGAAGAGTATGCTCATTCCTTAATACACTACAACTTAGTTGCAATCATATGTAATCACACACACACACACACACACACACACACACACACACACTTCTTTTATTCTGTTTGTTGAGGCAAGGTATCAAGAACTCTCTAGCACTTTGAAACGCCCCTCCCCCCAAAAAAAAAGAACTTTCTAGCCCAGGCTGGTCTTGAACTCACACAGCACACCCGTATCGGCCTACAAAGTGTAAGAGCACTCCTAAGTGACAGAGCTCTTACCAAACAAGTTCAAGACCTTGGGTTTGTTTTTTCAGAGCCACAAGACAAAACAAAGAGTTTTTGTTGTTGTTGTTGTTGTTTTTGGTTTTTCGAGACAGGGTTTCTCTGTATTGTTTTGGAGTATTGTTTTGGAGCCTGTCCTGAAACTTGCTCTGTAGACCATTCTGGCCTCGAACTCACAGAGATCCACCTGCCTCTACCTCCCAAGTGCTGGGATTCAAGGTGTGCACCACCAATGCCCAAACAAAACAAAGAGTTTTGCTGTTAGTTTGTTTGAGACAGGGCTTCATATAGTTTA